TCCTAAGTTGTATCCTTTATAATAAATCAGTAATAATAAGCAAAGTGCTTTCCTGAGTTCCGTAAGTGATTTCAGCAAGTTATGGAACCTGATGAGGGGGTTGTGGGAGCCTCTGACTTTGTAGCCAAGTTGGTCAGAAGTGGGGGTAACCTGGGGACCCAATACTCATGACTGGCTTCTGAGGTGTGGGCAGCCTTGTGGGACTGAGCCCTTAAAACCTGTGAAGCCTGACGCTAACTCCAGGTAGTTGTCAGAATTGGTTAGTGTCAAGTGGGAAAAATCTATTCAGGGGGTAGCAAGTTTCCCATTACTGGAGGTATACTCAGGCAGGGACAGATCAGCTGACAGCTGGCAAAGCTGTTGCAGGGACCCACATATTGGATGGGGGACTGGCCTAGATAAACTCGGAGGCAGTGAGGTGTGGTCAATGCTGAAGGATGCTGATCTGCAAACTGCTCACCAGCCTGTGACAAAGTACACAGGAGTGAAGAGCAAGCATTTAGGAACTTTTACAGCATTTTGATGTTTTGTGGCCTCTAAGTATATGCTCAATGGATTTGTCTCCTGAAATAGAGTCCAGACCAATGTGGATGCTACAGTTCCATGATGAATTGCACAGGGGGAGTGCTGCACACCAGTCGTACAGAATAGGACCACACAGTTCTGCAACTGGCTGGAAATATAAAAGCAGGTCCTTTATCCTGGCAGTCTGGGAAGCACACTCAGAGGCCTCAGCCTCTCTGGGATGTCCCTGGTAAGGCGCTATATGGCCACCCTGACCCAAGTAGGGCACTTCCTGTTACTTGCACCCATTCTACATGTCTATATTAGTTACTGACTGTTCTCCCTGCTAGTCCCTAAGCCCCCAGGGGCAGGGACCTCAGCAGGCCTATTCACCCCTGCATCCAGGGCTCAGTCTGTCTGGCACCCAGAAATGACCCTAAGGACACAGGATGAATAAATGGTTTGTCATACTATGTGAGAAGCACTCCTGATATAAAATGTTTTTGATAATGACAGGCAAGGTTATTCAGACCAATGCTCCCATTGAAAAAACTACAAGTACTAGAAAAATATTACAATCATGTCCTTAAAAATACTAGCGTGCTTACCAGATAGTAGGAATTACCAAACCAAACTGAAAGGCAAGTGGGAGCCTAGAGAGGTAAATAAGGCATGGAAGCCCTTTTTGGCTTGAGGACATTTGTTAATCCTGCAAAGATGCAATTTGGGTTTTGGTGACAAGAGGGCAAAGAATCAGACCCTGAGATCCACTGAATCAGCCAAGTCTAACAGGAGGCCTACCCTGCAGTAAGCTAGGATCCCAAAGGGCTACACACTCAAGAGGACAGTGAACCAGAAGAAACCACCTTCACCATCAAACTCTATAAGGAAGGCCGCCACAGTGCTGAGCAGAGCTGAGCAGGGAGTGTCTCTGAGGTGTGGTGACCACAAGCCCTCACACAATCTGCAGCGCTAGTCCGCAGCACGTGGGTCACTTACAAGATCTCAAACTGGGAATTTAGTTTAAAGGTGTCTGGCAAAAGCAAACATAAATCTTCCCTACCAAAAGGCAACTCACCCTTGGCCTTATATTATCCCTAAAAAGTAATTTTCAAGAACAACAAACAGTGCACAACCAGACAACCAAGCACACAAAGAAAGACACTGCATCATGAGCATACACCAGGAGAAACAAATTAGACAGCTACATTTCACATACTGAAATGATCAATCACAGATGATAAAAAATGACACTATGTTTAAAGAAATAAAAGACAAATTTGACATTATTTTTAGGGAACAGTAAACTATAAAAAGTGACCAAGCAATCTTGGATTAGGCAATGGTTTTTTAGATATGTTACTAAAAGCACAAATAATAAAAGAAAAAAACAGGCAGGCTAAATATCATCAAATTTATAGGAACATTCCTACACTGCTGGTGGGACTGCAAACTGGTTCAGCCTCTGTGGAAAGCAATATGGAGATACCTTAAAGCGATACAAGTAGATCTACCATTTGATCCAGCAATTCCTCTACTGGGCATCTACCCAAAAGATCAAATGACACTCTACAGATGGGACACCTGCACTCAAAAGTTTATAGCAGCACAGTTCACAATCGCAAAGGTGTGGAAACAACCCAGGTGCCCATCAATACATGAGTGGATTAATAAAATGTGGTATATGTCTACCATGGAGTACTATTCAGCTTTAAGAAACAATGGTGCTATAGCACCTCTTGTGTTTTCCTGGATAGAGCTGGAACCCATTCTACTAAGTGAAGTATCTCAAGAAGAGAAAAACAAGCATCACATGTACTCACCAGCAAATTGGTATTAACGGATCAACACCTAAGTGGACATATAGGAATAACATTTATTGGGTGTCGGGCAGGTGGGATGGGGGAGGAGGGGATGGGTATATACAAACATAATGAGTGAGATATGCAACATCTGGGGGATGGTCACGCTTGAAGCTCTGACTTGAGGGAGGAGGGGGGACATGGGCAATATACGTAGCCTTAACATTTGTACCCCCATAATATACTGAAATAAAAATAAATAAATAAAACATAAAAAGATATGGGGAAAAAATCATCAAACTTAAAAACTTTCGTGCTTCAAAGGATACAATGAAGAAAATTAAAAGATAACCAACAGAATGGGAGAATATTTTTGCAAATCATATATCTGCTAAAAGTCTAGTATCCAGACTATATAAAAGGACAAATAGGCCGGGCGCGGTGGCTCACGCCTGTAATCCTAGCACTTTGGGAGGCCGAGGCGGGCGGATCGCTCAAGGTCAGGAGTTCGAAACCAGCCTGAGCGAGACCCCGTCTCTACCAAAAATAGAAAGAAATTAACTAAAAATATATATATAAAAAAATTAGCCGGGCATGGTGGTGCATGCCTGTAGTCCCAGCTACTCGGGAGGCTGAGGCAGTAGGATCGCTGAGCCCAGGAGATTGAGGTTGCTGTGAGCCAGGCTGACGCCACGGCACTCACTCTAGCCTGGGCAACAAAGTGAGACTTAAAAAAAAAAAAAAAAAAAAAAAGGACAAATAATCCAATAATGAAATTGCTTTATAATTTGTTCATGGGTTTGAAAATTTTTAAGCAGCTGTAGTTAGTCTTCTATGTCACTAATGGTTTTAACTAACTGAGAACAAGATAGATTTTCCCCCCTCTAGGTGTCAGGTGCCTTTGAGGTCTTTTATCAGGCTTGGAGGTATCACTGGCCAGAAGCTTTTAACTGAAGATCATCAATATAAAAGACAGCCAAGGTGATCCAACTGAGCACTATTGTTAGGTAGCTTTGGTGGAAACAAAACACTAAAACAATATTTGATCCTTGATATCATATTTTCAGAGAAGCAATCTGAGACAGGACTGTTTTTTGAACACAACAAACTAAAGTGATTTGTGAAATCAATAACTCCACCAAATGGTCACTAAGGTGTCAAGGGAACTGCCCAAGGCCACACTGTTGGTGAGTTGTAGAGCCCTGTTTTGAGCCCGAGCAGTGATCATGACCCAGAACAGGTAATTTCCAATCCCTGAGTGGGTCCTAGAACCTGTCCTCTGGTGCATGGCAGGGCCAGGTGACACAGCTAGGTGAGCAGTGTTTGATGGCCAAAGCGTACAGTGATCCCAGGACCACATGAAGGCTCCATTTATGTCTTTCCTGGGAAGTGTGAATCTCCTCCAGACTCTGGTCTTAGCAGGGGCCAGAGTTGTGTGTATGTGGAGTTGGGGAAAGTCCAGTGCAGTTTGTTCATTTCGGGTTGGGCTGAAGTTCTGCAACAATTTGGTAGCAGAAGGATGTCTTGAGGTCTCTGATACTTAGGTTCTCAAAGTAGAAACTCAGCATGGTGGCCAGTAGCTTTCCAAGCACTGGAGAAACAAAGACTCAATGCTTCTGCCCCTGACATAGCTCTTGAGACATCCTTGGCAGCCAGAGCTTGTGGTGGTGAGGCTGTCTGGTCCCAGGAGCCAGGCCATTTGGGGAGGGCTACTTCCAAGCTTCAGAAGCAAAATTCCCCAGGAGTTCCTTCTATGTGGGTCAGCTGACATCATTCTGGACAAAAAGTATGTGGATACCTATTCAGAGGTCCAACTCAAGACAGGACCGTCCCCCTTTGTCTCACAGGCAAGGGTATAAGCTAGGTGAATGGGTATGCTAAGCTAAGGTCAAAGGTGAAAATGAGCAACAATTTCCCAAATGCCATGGCCTTTCAAGTTAAATTCATAGCTCTCCACCAAGAATTTGCTTTAGGAGCCTCAACCCAGACTTATATGCCTCTAAAACTGGGGGTGCTGAAGCCCTCTGATGAGCTACTGAGCAATGAGGTAGCAAAGAAGAAAAAGACTGGGGAAGCTTATATCATATTCTGCAGTTCTGGGGGTAGATCTCAAGGGATAGAGCAGCCAGAAGCAGTTCTGTATAACAAGAAAAGCAAGTCAAGTCCCTGTGGCCTGCAGTAAGGAATACCAGGAGAGCCTACATAGAAGGCATGGCCCAAGGAGGGGTAGGGGGTACTGGAGACTTCCTGGTGTCTTCTTGTAATAAAGATGACATTTTGTAGTTGCAATAGTTATTTGCATCTCCCTCCTGTACCTTGGCACTGCTAAGATGGCCATGGCAAGTTGACCAGCATGGCAGAGGAAGAGCTGGGATCCTGGAGGCCATTCACAAAGGCTAGTAGATTTGTCTTTGGTCCCATTGCAGGCAGAACTCTTTCAAGTGTCTACTTAGTTTTAACACAGATCTTTTAAAGGGCATGTATCACCCTATGAATGGCACCTTCCATGCCAGAATACTGGCATTTCCCTTCCATCTGCTTCAAGCAAAGCTCTGAAAAGCTCCATTCACTCCTTCCAGAACTCTACCAGACAAGCATTCCACGGTAATGAAGAACACAACTGTTCACTGCTATATCACGGGCACTATGGTCATATGCTTGGTGACATTACAGGAACTGGAGAGGCTTCCTTACCTCATCTGAAGAGCCATTTTCCACTCTGAATCTTCCCGCCCTTTGGATGGCTCCATCAGCATCACTGGAAATAAGCTAGGGGGAAAAATATGTCCAATTAGGTAACAAGTCACCATTTGCAATGCCCCTTCTCTGTATATGTATCTATCCTATAATAAGCCACACCTATGACATGGGCTGGAGCACCCAGCCTAGAAGCTAACAGTCTTTTTAGAGCTCTATTGGCCAAGTCTTCATACAGTCAGCCCCCACTGTCTTCAGGAGCCTAAGAGTATGGAATACCTAACCTGAAAGAGTGGAAAACAAGAACATTACATCTAAATTTGAACATATTCCAATATGGAAGAACATTAAAGCGATGCTCTCAGGAAAAACAATCTTAATACACATCACATGTGGACAAGTGGCAGCTCACAGATGGCAAGACCAAAAGCCAAGTCTCAAGTTCAGCTGCCTTCACAGGAAAGCCTAAAAAACAATTAGTGGCTGGCATGAACCCAAGGCTCTACTACCATCAGAGAAAGCTCTTGTGCTTCATTCAGTTTTACACAGTTTCCAAAAGGCCAATTAGTCCCTTCCCAGGCAGGCAGACTGTGTTTTAGCTCTGGCAAGGTGATGCTTGCAAATAGACGGTCTCTGAGGGGTTCAAAGCTAGAAAGAGGTGAGCGAACAGATCGGGGCTTGGCACATCAGTCCTAAAAAGATTTAACTTACTTTCTCCTTCTAGATTTCTCGGTAGCAACTTGGAAAAATGACACATCTTTTTTTAACCTTTCAAATCTACTTGCAACATGCAGCAAAGATCTGCCAACAATTTCCATCTCCCAGACTTATCAGAACACACTTGTCCCAAGGGAACTTCTCATGTCTTTAACTCAGGGCTCACTCGGCAAAACAGAAACACGATTTCTTAGGAAAGATTGTTAACTCATATTTTCACTAGTGTTTAAGAGATATGAAGGTATGAAAATTAATGGAAAAAATTCAGGGGAAAACTCCCACAAGTTTTCTCAAGGAAAATTGTTTGAAAAGGATTGATAAATATTTTGCACATAAACATAAAAGTAGTATCTTGTATTTATCAAGTGCTTCTATGTGCCATGCACACTTCTGCCCTTAACACATATTATCTCATTCAATTCCCACAATAACAACACAAGGTAGGTACTATTACTTTTTTTCCTCTTCCTCCTCCACCTCAAGCTAGGTACTATTACTATTCTTGTTTATGAATGAGGAAATTAAAGCACAGAAAGGTAAAACAACTAGCTAAGGTCATATAAATAGTACAGGAAGAGCTGGGATGTGAACAAAGGCAGCACGACCCCAGAAGCCCATCATCCTTATTTAATCTCACCCTACCTACCCATCCTCCAGGACTGTCCAAGACAAGGTCCATTTTTTATACCTCATCTTTCTCCTGCAAAGTAGTTTCTAAAAACAAATGCTGAGGATGAACCATAGAGGATGTGTAATCATGAATTTCACCTTGCCCAAACAGAGGTCTGGCCTTTGCCTTTGGCTCCTGGGAAGTGATTTCTAAGCCCCAGGAATACACTGCACAAGTATTTATTTACTTACGGACTCTGAGCCACGCTGGATAGCAATAGTGTGGTTTATGGTATCAGCTCTCCTTCTGGAGGGGCTGTTGGTTAAGGTCAGCCACGAGGGAGGTCAACCATATCTACGGGGTCAAGCCCCAGTAAAAACTCTGGATATCATAACTCAGGTGAGCTTCTCTGGCTGGCAGTACTCTGTGCATATTGTCACACATCACTGCCAGGAGTTAACACTGTCTGCCACTCTATCAGGAGAGGACAACTGGAAACTCCACATCTGGAACTCTTCTGGACTCTGTTCCATGAGTATCTTCCCTTGGCTGGTTTTATTTTATTTATTTTTGTAAGCCATCCATTCATTCATTTAGAGACAGGGTCTTGCTCTGTTGCCCAAGCTAGAGTGCAGTGGCATCATCATAGCTCACTGCAACCTCAAACTCATGGGCTCAAGCGATTCTCCTGCCTCAGCCTCCTGAGTAGCTGAGACTACAGGCATGTGTCACCATATCCAGCTAATTTTTCTTTTTGGAGAGACAGGGTCTCACTCTTGTTCAGGCTGGTCTCAAACTCCTGACCTCAAGCGATCCTCCCACCCCAGCCTTCCATAGTGCTAGGATTACAGGCATGTACCACTGCACCTGGCCTTCCTTGGTTGATTTTAATTTTTCTGTGATAAACCATAAGTGAGCTTAACAGCTTTTGGTGAGTTCTGTGAGTCCTTCTAGCAAAGTATAAAAACTGAGGTTCTTGTAAGCCTTAGAACTTTGCAGTTGTTGTCAGAAGTGAGGTTGATCTTGAGGACTGTTCTCTAACTTAATAGAGGCTAATTCTGAAGGACAAGAGCAAGATAAATTTAGGTCTCCTAGGGTCACTGCCATTTTCACAGGGGAAGAATGGGGATTCAGCGTAAATGGCTCTTTGCTTGTGGATTTCTACTCACTGTCTGTTAAAACAGAGAGAATAGAAAACAGGTTTTGAGTTGAGTGTTATTGATACACTCTGCCTCAAGGGCTTTAGGAGAAGCATTCTGAGATCACATCTGGACTTAGAAAGGAAAGAGCACTACAATCAATTAATCATGTCTGACAGAGGTATATACAGAGAGAGGGGAGATGCATCCATCCTGCTTGTTATCCTTGAAATGGAGGTTAGCAGATATAATCCTGACTATAGCTAGTCACATCTAGGACTCAAAGGCTTGGGAGAAGAACTGACAGTCACTGATTCAGTCATATAAAATAAAAATTAAACATCATTAAGACACTAGATTCCAGACACTGCCAGGCATAGGCAATAATGCCTTTTTCCTCTGTTGAGCTTGGAATAAGAAACATATTGCTTGCCTTGCTTTAAAAGTTCCAGAAGAAAGAAAGGACACATCTAATGATTTGATGGTAAGAAAGAATTTAGCTCCTTCCAAACTCATGATCTTGAAATCCATAAAGACAATAAACTCAGGCTAATGTGTCTGACTTTATTGCCTGTATCATCTCCCCCAAGACCATGTTCATTTGAGTCACTGTCATCTCTCAGCCAGATGCCCTTGACTGCCTCCTGACCAGTCTGGACACCCACCTACCGCTGCTCCTCTCCAGCTAACTCCTCACACTGCAGCCCGATGACTGACTGTACCCCACAGTCCCACCTCTATCCCAGTGCCCCACTCCCTCCTCTTGAGAGCACATGTGTGGTACTCCCTAGCTTGGCAGGCCCCCTTTACCCCCTTCTCCTAAGGAGCCCTCATCATCCTGCAGTGCCACCAAAGTCCCCACTGCTCCCAGACACCTTCCTGACCCACTGCCTGGGAAAATGATCTCATGTGAGTTCTTGGAGTTCCCGCAGAGCTGTGATTTACATTTCTCTCTGCCCTACTTGATTCATAGCTATCTCTCCTCAGGCACTCTTTCTGCTTCCCAACAAGCTCTATGAAGGCAGCAACTACATTTGTTTTCACCACTACATCCCCAGAGCTAAGCACACCGCCTGATGCAGTATTGATATTCATTAACAATTTATACACAAGAAATATGTGAACAGCCAAGTTACTATTGAAAATGACTAAAAGAGTATAAAAATGGGGGTGATGCCCATGCCAGCCCTGGAAACCAAAGAAGGTTCATTACTCATGCAAGAAATGTCAAAGAAATTCCACTAGCTTTGTCATGAAGGAAAGACCAAAGTGAAGGACAGACCACAAAACCTGAATCACCACGTGCCAGGGAAAGTCAGCCTGAGCAGTGACTTTAACTGTGCAGGTTCAAACTAATGCCTCTGAGCTCCTGCTGGCAGGACAAAGGGTAGGCAGGAGGTCCTTCTAGTCACATGTGGGGCTTGCACACAGAGTGGCAGCCCAGTGCCCCCAACCTCCAGCTGGCTCACGCAGCTTGCTCACTAAAGCAGAGGGGGCCATGGTGGCTGGGTTTGATGAAGACTGGTACACCAGCTGCTGTGAAAGGAGACAGTGCCCCAGCAAACTAAGGGATGAAAAAACTAATACTGCAGGGGAAAAAAAGCCCTTTAACACACTAGAGAAGCTGATTTTTAGTTAGCTGTCTCTGTTTTCTTTCTATTATTCTTCACAAACCTTTGATATGGTCAAATCAAACTATAGAAACTTTACACTCTTCCCTTTGCTGGAAAGAGATTTGATTCACAAATGACACAATCTCCAACAGAACCCATCTAAATGTCAAATACTGCATAATCTAGAAGCCCTCTTCCATAGGTTCATCTTATGTGGTACAGAGCTCTAGCTGCCACCAAAATCCACTTGTGCCATCTGCCACAGTAATGGAACTGTAGCTGGAGACAAGGTAGACCCAATTGCCCTATAGGTGGCCATTTGACTCAACTCTCTCCACTTGGAGGTGGGTCAAGGTCCTTGAGGAGAGGGAGGTTCCTCTCCCACACGCTTTTTCCTTCTCCACTGGTTAAAACCTCAGTGACCAGAGAGACCCTGGAAGCCCCTGTTGAAGACAGTGGATTCATCTTGGGCCTGAATGTGTGGGGCAGAGCCACCACCCACTTAGAATACCTGGCTAGATGTTGGACAGAAACTTTGTTTTCACTGCATTGTGACATTCTAAGCCAACTAATGCACCCCATGAGGAAGAATAAAGAGAAAAATCACTGATCCTATGATAAGTTCAAAATTAAAAATGTGGAAACTGACCTAAAGTATCGGCGCAAATGTTCTATGATTTACTACAAAGAGCACAAGGAACTTCTACAAAATCTCTAACTGCGGTAATACTTTGGGAATGTACAGGATCTATGAAATGGAACAGTCTGTGATCAGCTATCAGATGAAAAGCATAATTCCTGAATTTTAAAATGCAGTCACCACAGTAAGCCAGAAACTAGAAACTAAAAAGAAACTGCTCTGAAAGAGTAAATTAGAATATCAGTTTGAGATAAATAGAGAGAAATGATTATTAAAAACATAAGGAACATATCTGGGACAAAGTGTAAAGAATGGCCTGGGGTGTTAGGAAGGTAGTTGTTGGGCAGAGAACC